TATATATATATATATCCGAATCCCAAAGCAACGTGTGTGTGGTTGAAGTTCTGCCGTTCGGATAGCCTTCACATGTTGGGAGAATGCGACATTTGACGGGGCGGCTTGTGCCGTCACATTTTCGTCGTTCAGCTGTCACACCCTTCCGGTGCCTAGCTGCCATGCCACCGGAAGGAAGCAAGAGGGCTGAGATACTACCAGACACTACCCAAGCCTAGAAAGAAGCCAAGAGGCTGAGGTCGGATCGAACCACGAACCTTCCGGTTAGTAAATTCGCACTCCATTTACGGCAGTGAAGCATGAGTGCCAACACTGGTGTTGCTCTCTTTGATGATGATGACTCCAATTATTGAGCCATCTCGCCCGTTTCGTTATCTCGCCACATTGTTGTCCTTTGTGAGAAACTGTCCCACCGTTGGTTTCTTCTCCCTTTATTCGAATGACTGTCTGTTTTTTTTTCACTCGTGAAGAATTGTTGCATTTGAAATGATTTTCAGTTTCAGATGGCCGTTGAGCTACTAATATTTCGACGGAGCCACTGTTCCGTCATCCTATCCCATCTGTTCCATAACAATCTTGCTGCACTTCTGCAATCCTGTCTCATTACTGCTAATTTTACATTTCAATTCTATAACACGTGCAGTTTATTGTAAAACATAATAAAACTATTCGTTTTTATCCCACGCGTATCTGATCAGAGGAGAATAATCAGTACCGTATACCGAACTCTCCACTTCAGTCCACTTTGTTGTTTACTGACTCTTTAGCTTGCGTTGTTGAAAAAGTGCGATGTTTTGTTTACAGATTGCCTTGTGCCACTGGGCGTCGTGAATTTTGAGCGAACATTCTTTTTTACGTAGGAATGTCAATGCAGCATGTTAGGCGAAATTTCGGCAATTCAGGAACTCATGCAGCCCCTTTCTAAAGCGATGAGCAATCCAGATCAGTTGATGGACGAGGCCGAAGCTATTCTTTTCCGCACAGGTCGTGAAAACCTATCCAATTTATCACGTCTGAGCAGCACCAAAGGTTCAATTTACAGCTCTGACGGTGACCACGGCAGTCGTTTGATTGCTGCTGCTACAGCTGCTCTATATGCGGATTACGACCGGGCCAATGCAGGTTCTAGTGATGATACAGACTCTGGGCGTCTCACCATGGAAACAAGCCCTATGGAATTGAAAATAGATGATCAGCTGGATGGGTGCAGCCTTTCGTCAGTAACCCAGTCGCCGCCTGGGGATAGTGTGTTCTTCAACAACCCTCCAGTCACATCAATTCCTCTCCAAAGCAACTATAACAATTATGGATACAATACAACTGGCGATGCTACTTCGGCGTGTGAAATAAACTCTCATGCTGGTGATTGTGAGGCGATCCCGGTGAATCAACGCTCCCAACTCCCCCACGGTTTTTCGATCGTGCCCAACGCGACCGGTTATTCCTTCAATGCGTCTGGACATGTGATAGGTCAGAGAAAAACAAGCATACCTGGAATGGCAACCAGTAACCCGTTGGTCACCTCATACCACTTGTCCCGTTGTTCCCCGCAACAACCAGATACGGTGAGTTTCTGCTTGTTTTTAACTTCAAACCTACATCATTCTAAAATCAAAGTTAAATCTTCCTCTTGATGGCATGTCGATCCTCTAAGCAAATTCACATTGAAGTGCCTCTGGTCGTCCGAGAACGAGATGGCTCAGTGGCTGAGCCGCAAACTTAGTGATCGACAGGTCCGTGCTTCGAGCCCGACCTCTGCATCTCGACTACTATCTAGGCTTACGCAGCCCTACAGTATCTCAGCACTCGTGCTTCCTTTGAGTGGTATGGTAGTTAGGCACCGACAGTTTGTTAAAGCTGAACCAACCAATTTGCTCTTTTGACACATTGTAGCGCTCGTCGATGGCTAGCGATGCTGCAGCCGTTAGATACCTTGTGTTCACAGATTTGCCAGTCGATACTGACAAGTTTCGCTTCCTGTCTGCGCATCCTCTTGCATGCTAGCTGCTTTTCCGTTTGTGTTGTTGTATCTAATTTATACACAAACTGAGTAACAATTCATTATACTTACAGGCTCAAAATGGGATCGGGTGCTGAATTCGGCACTCGATGATCAGCCCAGTCGTGCCCTCAGTGGTGTTCGGGCATCCAAGCTATTGCCTTCAATGCGTACTTCCCTTCCCAATTCCCCCACTTAACAGTCCACCGACAGTCCTGTATATATGCACCAATTTAACCTCCGATGCGCAGCTACCAACGCCACCTCCCCAAATCATCGGTGAACGAAACTGTGGCAGCTATAACCACTGTACGACGAGTACGCGGTTCTTACTGCTGACAATTATGATGATGAGATAATTGATTTTCATTTTCATAAGACTGAAAATCATACTCTTTTAAGCGAACCATCTATGTTTGCTCATTAGTCCGCCTAGCGTAACGCATACCACTTGCCAATTACAGCATAGTGCAGTATGGCGTCTACAGAATGCATACCAAGGTACGGTGACTCTAGATGCCGCAGTTTCATTCAGCAATGATGATAGCCTAAGTTCTCGTTGCGAGCACTGGTTATTCTACGTCGAAATCAAGCCCGTTTCCACTTACTATTTAGCTTATGGTACTCCCAATTGTGGACTGATTCGTGGGCTTGTGTTAAGCACATTTGTGGATTTTTTGTGGATTTCTCGAGCATCATGCTATCAAATCTGGGAATCTCACTACTTTTGATATCAAGCAAACCGTAGCACAATATGCTCAAATTGAGTAGCTTTTTGTTTTTATATCCCTAGTATTTTTTGACTTGCATGCACCGCAGTGAAGTAAACCCGTCCTGAGAACTTTCCTCTGTTGATTTTGTCATTTGAGTAAAGCATTCCCCGAGGTTAGCCTTTTCTTTCGCTAATCTCCCGACTCAACAACCTCTAGTTCAACAGAAGTACACCAAATTTATTCATTTCGGCATGTCCGAATCACCTGTATCATGGTAGCCCAGTGGTTGAGGCGCGGACTTACTCACCGAAACGTCCGCTTTTTTGAACCCAACATCGGCATCTCGACTCCTCCTGTTTAAGCCCTCGTGCTTCCTTCTGGGTGGCACCACAATCAAGCACCAAAGGGTTGTTGCAACTGAACAATCATATGTTTTATGATTGTCCGGGTGCAGCACTCTTCCTATAAATTACTTGTCCGCGGATGAACGGAACTCACCTGCAGTTCACATCGTTCTTTCCTTATCGACCCCCAGTAGTGTGAAGTAAACCAATGACTACAAGCAGTCGTGTTGCTTCTTGGAAAGAATTTACCAAAATCTTCCCTCTCTCCGGTTCCTTATGTAATTGTCTTGCTTGGGGTCTTCGAGTTCGATAGGATTTTTTGTCTGCAGGCGTTTCACTGGCTTTCCCTCTTTCGGAAAGTGTTGCTTTTTGCTTGGTTTGGTTTGTTTCATGAAGAGCTGATTTGGCACCACACGATAATTCCCATCTTCGTTTCACCTCATTTTTAATACAACAAGTTTTATTCAATCGTTCGCCCGCATGTCCATATGCGCCTTCTCCTTTGACTAGCAACCTGACAAACCATCGTATATACTCTCACAACTGTCTAGCTTGTTTGAACCCTGGTGTCTAGCTTCCGTCTGTGCTCTCTTGTGGTGCTACGTACGAGTGCTCTGATCTCAGTAGGGCGAAGGTGGTAGTCAAACACACCTGCCCTTTTAAAGGATTTCGCTAAATTCCTCAGTTGGTGACTGTCTAACCTATCTGCGTCTATTTGGGACGTGGAGTCTGTCCAAGGCAGCTGGGGTTAGTCAGTACTAGCGTTTATTTTCAGAAGGGGTAGTGCCAGTGAATACAGTAACGATTGCGCTTTCGGGTGTCACTGATTCTTCATCGTTTTACGGTAGCACGCGTAACCTTGACCCGTGAGCATCAAGCCGGATTACGACCGGTTAGAGGTTGCAATGGCGATATCATCACACTTTATCAAGCGTCAAAGCGGCGCCATGTGTTCAAACTTCTCATAGTCTTGTTGTCCTTTGACTTCAAGGATGCGTTCAATTCTATCAATCCGTTATTCCCTGTAATTAACAGGAGATATCCCTGATGCTCGTGGAATCCTATATACGCATACTCCCGTTTATAGGTAACTTTTTACAGGATTCCATGCGAAAGGTGACATCCGACAAGTATGCCAACTTTCTTCATTTCTGTTCAACCTCGTTGTCGGCGAAATACTGAGACGTACTTTGGAGGGTCTTCAAGTCCTTAGTGTTCACATCGTTGCTGGCGACCACCTTGTTGATTTGGAGTACGCAGACGAGATCGTCCTGCTGTCATCATCATTGTCAGCTGTAATAACCGCGTACTTGTCGTACAGTGGTTGTAACTGCCACTGTTTCGTCCGCCGATGATTCGGCGAGGTGGGGTAAGTATCTGCTAGACGAAGACGAAGCACAAGCTCTGTTGAATAAAGGGAATACCATCATACTATCTTTCGGTACGTTGGTCACATCTATAATATGCACAGTAATGATTAGAAACGTGCCCCTTGCAATTCCAAGGAGAAGCACTGTAGGTTATGGAGAATTTTACGCGGTTTGGTATTTGTTAGCTCGGTTTGCGCGGTGCCCAGTCACATCCACGGTGGATGTATTCGTAAGCCAGTGAGTGCGCACTTTATGCAATTCGACCCCAAAAGTATTGAAGGAATGCCTGTTCATTCTGTTGAGATGTCGATCACGCGAAGAATTTCGGTATCCGAAAGAGAAAAAAATCATTCAGCACCCTTTCGGTGCCTAACCAGAAGGAAGCACGAGGGCTGGGATACCTCCAGGTTTCCCAAGTCTACACAGGAAGAATCGAAAGGTGGATGTCGGTTTTGAACGACAGACCTTGCGGTCAGTAAATTCGCGCTCTAACCACTGAGCCATCTCGCCCCCGGATGAGGCATCTTGTAACTACCAGTGTGTGATAAGCGTGCACGTTGAATTTTGGCGGCTTGCTTCAAAGTGTGACACTAAAGGCTGTCAGAAAAATCACGGTTCGCTACTAGAAGAATGATTTCGTAGTGTGTGAGACTTGACACCGGCTGGCGCACAGCCAACTAGGGAAGTGGGAACAAAAGGGGGCGTTGGCGTTAAAATGCTTTTTCCCACCCTCCATGCTGTGTGTAGCAAGTGAGGCGACCTGGCTACTACTACCACTTGACGGCCGATATGACATGAGATCAACTCCGATTGTACCATTTATTACTGCAGGCGGCCTGAGTACAATAAACCTAAACAAGGGGATAATTAGAGTGTTCACTACTAGTCTTTGATGCAAAAGTCCGATCGCCGCACAACGTATTTTGGACGATACCAGAGTATTAGAGTTTCAAAAGATCAATGCGCCAAACATGTTTTAAACCCTGACCTTGACAGCTAGAAAACCATGTTGGTCAGACTTCTAATAATGGACCAAGATGGTGTGAGAAACCGCGAGTGTCCTATTGACACCCAAGTATAACTCAGTGGGTCGTGGAGGCACGCAAATCGTCGCAGTTTTATCTTGACGGAAATAAACAAACGTCAAAAGTTGGAGTAACCTTGGCGTATTCAGCGTATTTCAACCTAATTTTTGCCAAGACTGCCGATCTCTCCTTTGTGACGTGACAACGTAAGATGTCCGCAAAACCTTTGAAGGGATTACGAGGGCTACTACCGAGAAGTTTTAGTGTCGCGGGTCGGATTTGCTGTCCAGGATAAGGTCTCTATGATTTCTGCTGCACTTAGTTTGAGTTGTTGTAAACTATGACTACTAAACTATTACGATTACGTGTTACTGGGTTGTCGTCACTTGACTGTGCCGGCTACTAAACCAAGAAAGCGACCAAATGTTCAGGGTTGGTTGGCATCTCTAAACCGAGTTTTTTTCCCTTGTTACCAATGTTGATTGGCTACTTGGGTACAGATGAACAAACCTCTAGCGAACGGCTAAAAGGTTCCTCCCGAAACTTTGGGTCATGGCTCGCCTACCGAGTAACACTCTACACCTGTTTCGGTTTTAACTCAGTTAATCAGCAGCCGGATTTCACAAGCAGATTCCAACGCAGGTTTGGCAAGTGAGCTATGAAAAATAGTGTACAGCTCTCTATAGAGGAGAATGTCGGTAGCTCAGGTAGCGTAGATGGTCGTTGGCTTGTGCGCTGGGCTGGGCAATTTGGTTGCAACCAAATTGCCCAGCCCAGCGCACAAGCCAACGACCAGTGTACAGCTCTGGTGACAATGATCACAAACATTATGGCGTATTCCGCCTATCAACGAGACATTTTCGGGATCAGCTGGTGCGACTGATATACTCGCAACAAACTGAGGTTCTACTTATGCTTCTGGCATGTATACGAAATATGGATACTTGCTCCCCGCATGGGATTGTGATGGGTTTTATATTGGACAACAGTTTTACTAGCTTATCAGGTACTTATTTATAGTGGATTGTAGCTAGTTTACACTGCAAAATGTTATAAAGACAGAAACGGTGTGTGCATGTCTCTTATTCGTCTCAGTGTGCTATCTGACATTGACCGCTTTTCATAAGCCAACCTTCACTTCCCATATTATTAGTCGTACTCTTGTCTTGGCCATTGCTCTTTATCTTCTAGACAAATGCCGTTCGGTCTTCTTGCGTGGTCCACTTTTTGTGCGAACAGCTCTGCGGAGATTTGTTTCTCGTCACTGACCTTATTTGCATATCGTTTCCACGAAAGGATGGTATTTGTAATTCTGTTGAGGTATCCCAGCAACCAGAACGCAGAACGGTTTTTAAAGGGTCTTAATCCGCCTCTTTTCGACCCGATTCTCTGGTCTTATTTTTCGCGACGAATCGAGGACTGTCCACGCCATTACGATCAGTTTTGTTTGCTTCATCGTACCTTTGGTCATTTCCCCACTTTTGTCGTATGTCTGTTTGACGTCAATTGGCTGACGCAATCTGTCTATTTTTAGCACGTTTCTTTCCCCTATTTCCTCAATGTCGAAGCAGCCACTCCTGTAGTTGGATTCTTGTGTTCATATTCTTGACCTTGACAATCTTTTTCCCAACAGATTTCTGCTGCCTGCAATAGTTTCAGTGCTTTTTGCACCCGTTATACCTTGTATCCATTTATATAAATGTTACGGGTGATCTGTCTATTAAGTATTGCACGGAAAGTCCTGACTAATGTTAACCTCAGTGAGCTATCACTGTCATTCTTCCTCACCGGAAGGGGCGAGATGGCTCAGTGGTTAGAGCGCGAATTCACTGACCGGAAGGTTCGTGGTTTGAACCCGACCTCTCTCGACTCCCCTGTTTAGGCTCGGGCAGCCTGACAGTATCCCAGCCGTCTTGCTTCCTTCGGGTGGCATGGCAGTTAGGCACTGAAAAGGTGTTACAACTGAACAATTCAACTATCTTCCTCGCCATGGAAGCTAAAACATGTATTGTTGAAGTCAAAACAAGCTGAAACCACTTTGAAACTGACGGATCAGTACTGGGAATAAATACGAGTCGGTATTGCGGTTAACGTGAACCGAGTGTAAACCATCCGATGTTAACGTCTTCTAGTCTACCAAAGTGTGCTCTTGGTTTCAGAAATGTTTATTTACTAGGAAGTTTTAGTTTTTCAGCGCTGAACTCGTCAGGAGATCATCATCATCGTCATCACAGACAGCATAACATCAGTGTTGCTACGCTGCCGTACAACCATGATTCAGTTGAAAGCCTTATTGTGAGGAAAAGAATTAATCGGATAGGGAAGATACTGCCAACTTACTACAATCAGTCCGGGATACCTGCACCTCCGAACACTCATTCAGGTAATCTGCATAGAAATGGACAACACGAACGCCGCTGACGTCGATTAGCAGCCATATATTGCAGCATTTTCAACCACGCGCGGTGGGGTTAACGTTGTCCCCATCATGGTAGGCGAGTAGCACCGACAACACACCAATGTTTCGTAATCTCTTTCCTGTCCTTTTGCCAGGTCAAATGGCTATTCCACCACCGTTGTAGGAAATTTGAGCAGCAATAAGCCTATCACACTTGCTACATCTACATCGTGAGTCCTAGTTAGAAGTTTTGTATTCAAGGGTTCAGCACGTCTTGACTGTACAGTTACAATCCTCTAGCCTGTCAAGCTAGAATCAATTAACTGTCTGTAATCAGTCAGCATATTTTTGTCATGTGTGCTCATCGAAGGCTAAGCTAATTCTGTCCGCTCATGCGCTCGCTGAACCACCGCGGGTATATGCGCCACATCGCTGCGTTGTCACTTTTCCCCCTTCTCTCGATAGGTCTTTTCGCCACCAGTGGTTCGCATATGTGATTTGTATAGATGGCCGACTATCGTGATAATTTACTTACCCAAAGGACCGTATCCTTAAGAAGAAGGGTAATGGAAATATTCTACACTTATTTTTCGAATTTTCCGTGCACTTGTATGGTGCACTTCAACATTTCTGAAATATTCCTAAAACTAGAGGTTCACAGGATTTTTCCAATGTTAGATTTTGATTAGTTTCTACTCATCAAATTTTTGAAGTAATCTATGCACTCTTTATAACCTAGGATGATGTACAATTCCAGACGCTTTGTCGACCTGGTCATTGCCGTAGTTCTAGTATGGGTGACCCGAAGCTTGGCTCACAGATGGACTCGTCGCAAGCACTGCTGGATGAAACAGTGGTTGATGGTCGGCCAGTTGCATTTAGTGTTAATCGCCCAGTGGTCAGTCCGAATTGGCTTCGTAACTGCGATGAGACTGACAGTGATTCTGATGCAGATGAAGAGGGTGGCCATGTGTCAGGTTTCATGCAGTCTTCTGCACAAGCTACTCCGGTTGAAGATGAGGGTGGGGAGTATGTGGCCGTACAAGAAGAGGTCAACAGATGCGGTTTAACACAGGCTTCTAGTACCCTAACCGCCGAGGCCTTACTGAACAAAGATGCAGGAGGCCTAAATTCCGGGCGACACACAATCAGCTCAGCCTATGAACGTGGTGCCACCGCCAATGTTCGCGGATCTATTAACAATTTATCATTTAATCCACCCAGTGAGTTCTTGACCTGCTTGGGTTACTTTGATTATATTTGGTTCATTTGTACTACGTTGTTGTTGAATAAATTACCTATGTTGAAACGGTGAAATTTAGGATGGTTAGTACAGTGTTTCTCCCTGTGTTGTTCTGTCGAAGATGAACCTTCAGATGAATGATGATCACGGTAGCACGCATGACATTGTTATCGTACAAATAGGAATCTCAGCATAAACGCGTCCAAGCACTCGGTCTCCTTAAAGGTTTGGCTAGCTTATTGTGTCAGCGTTTTTAAGGGTCGTTGGTCTACCAGACTGGTTAACCTAATACTTGTAGGAAACGATGGTGTTCAGTATGTGCAAGCTAAGATTCAAGAGCTATTCAAGCATGTTTGTGGATTATTATGCCTGTTATGCCGTACAGTCTCTGATAACTGACTGACGGTATACGATTTTGCTTTTCATCAGTTTTTCATTAAAATGTTTTCTGTTTTTCCCCGTTTATGTAATATATGCAGTCAAATTCGAAGTGTTAGAATAAATCCAGGATAACCAGCTAGCCATTGGTAGTCGGATCCACGTGCGGACGCTAAACTAGCTTATTAAGAGCTGGTCTCTTTAGCAATGTGTCGAAATATTGGCAGTTCGGATGTGCTAATTGGCCGTTGATCAGGCAGTAGCTGATCTGTTCGCCGAGCTCGGTAGCTAGCTTGAAAGCATTTCGTAACCAGACGAGGAGACATCGTCACTGCTCACACTCTTTGACTGGTGTAAAATCTGCCGCGCTCTTGCGTATGCAAGCCTTGGCATTACACTATTTCGTGTGCTTCAGTCTAAGACGGCTGATCGGCTTATACGTCCTTTACCTAACTGCATGTCCGCTAACAGGCTACTGACTCAGGAAAAGTTTATATGGTGGTCCCAAATTCGCCATCAGTTTCGAATATTTTCTTGTGTCTTTGCTTTCGTTGTTTTTTAATCGATAGTTGTATCATATAACACCCACCCGGGTAGGTCTTTTTAAACGCTCCGACTTCTCATGTAGCGACCTTGGCGACAGCTATCTCTAGAGATTCCCCGTAGAACCTGCTCGAATGCGTGGCCCGTGCGCTCTAGAAAGGTGTTACCAGAAAAGTGGTACTAGATTCCGACAGACAATAGCTAACTGTCTGTTGGAATCCCCAGCCGCAAAGCAGCTTTATGTTCGACGACCTTCATATAACTCAATTTCGGATCCTATAGTTTCTTCAGTCAAACCAAGTCACCACTGTTATTGGGCGACACATTTTTTCGAAGATTGTAGCTTTATCTCAGCCTTGTCATCTAGTGCACCATGAAGCTCTGAGTAGAAATGTTTCGTTTGGCACAATCACTAGTCTGAACGCTCACCATATTTACATAAATCCCCTTGTGTCCTTCCGAGTTGCTTTGAGTTAGCATTCTTAAAACCGTTCATTGTGATTGACCTTAGCGCATTTCACTGCCAGAGATATTTGCGGAAATATCTGTGAATTTTTGAGAGGAGACGGGTCGATCCTACGCAAGAGCGACTATTTGCCGCCTTGCTGAGTTCGTCAAAGTCAGTTGACTTCTGTTGGTGCTTGAATTTCTGGTAATAGTCCTTTTCAAACGTGCGTGTGTGGAAATCCCATCTAAGTTCTGGCCAACTTCGATTCAGTTACTTTGTATCCCTATGTTTGAGTGTGTATAGTGACCTTTAGAAGATAAGTGTGCCAAACTCCGAGTATTCTTCGAGTACATTTGATATCCAGTTTTGCTAAACGACTGTTGTTTCCGCTCCTTGACTATGATTCATTCTAATTTAGCATGACGCATCGGTTGACTTGAGTGTGCTCACCAGCGCAGCTTGTCAAAACATTGCTTTGTCTCGTAAAGTCAGCCTCAGCAGTTCTCTCTCCGACCAATGTTGGTTAAATACGCTTGCTTCGATAAGTCTCTGTGGAAGGGGCAGTCGCGCCATTCACCTGTCAACTCTAGTCTGCACTTCGTATTCCATGATTCCTTTTATCTTGTCTCGCAGAATCGATTGACGGCAACCTAATGTTTGGTTGGTGGAAATGTTGTCTGCATTTACTGTGATTTTATCGGTTTTCATTGTGATTCGCTTGGCATTAAACCAACTCAGCTCAGCCCAATACAAATTCAGTTTACTCTTGGCTGGTTTTTATATTCTCCGAAAGTAAAATATCCAGTTGTCCAGTGCGAAACCATCAGTCATGGCCAAACCCAGTGACTGAAGTTTATTTTGGACAATAAATTGGAAGACACTTGCAAGCGATCGAGAAATCGTCGTTTCAAAAAAGTTTTAAAAACAATCGTTTTTGACAAAGGAGCTTCGTCAGGCCAAGGGATTAGTTTACAAAGATAGTCGGGTTTCGTGGTAGACATATAAATCAGTATTAGGCACCGGCTAGGAGTTTTTGTTCGTTAGTGAGGGTGAGCAAGTGTTACGATCGATGGACTACAAGAAAACTTACATGGTCCAGGTACTGGTCGTTCCGGTTCGCTCCTTGGGAAGACTCCTCTTCAGTGTGTTCTAGATTTTCTTTCTGTGAGTGTTGCTGCTAAGTCAGTTGGGTTAAGAGAGGAAATGACGTGGATTTTGGTCTTTCTACTTTGGGTCGAAGTAGCTTCAGTGAATGATTCCTCTTGACTGACAGTTGCACACCACCAGGTATCAACTCGCCATATGTATAACCGCTGTTCAAACGCTCGGCTGCTCTAAACCTTCTCTGTGGGGCTTGGAGTTTTCTACCATCTGTAGTGTGATACTGTCGTCTGCCGGGAAACCAACAGACACCTTATTTAATTTCCAGCCACCCTGAGGCTACGTATTTTAATATGGCCCACCCAAATAGTAGTCGAGTCAAGACGCTTTTCAAAAAAGAGATCTATCGAACAAAAGGCCAAACTGAAGCTAAAAGACTTTAAGAAACTAGATATCCAGCGGCAATTACGAAGAGTATTGCTGTGGGTTGGCGCAGCAGTCATTTCACGTAAAGCTGGAATGTCTGAGATTATTCGAAGGGTAGATACAAACCACTTTTGAGTGGCGTTCCAGTTGGGGAGACATTACACACTGTATTAGTGCAATTGGAGGATTGCCTGCCGATTTTGGAAGGTCTGAAGACTGCTTGCACAAAATGACTGCAACGACTGCACCGGCGTTCCTGTGGGGCAGGTGGTCATCGGGCTGCATACCAGAATTGATGAGCGAAGTAGAACAATAACCAGCCCCAGGAAACAGTCGAATATCTGGCGCTGGTCAGAGGCTCGGTGATTGCGGAACATATGCTGTACAATGTGAAGGTCTGAGGCTGAGACTTTGATTCGGACTGATGGCCGAATACCCTATTGTGAACAGGAAGAAGGGTGTAGAACTGTTGGGCGTTTTAGGGACGGCTCTAAATAAGCCGACTTGACGTCTGATGGTGTGCGATTTTCAGTCAAGAAGAGTCACTAACAGAAGTGGTTTGGATCCAATCCGACCAGAATCAACCCTATTCCCCCTAACTCAATTGTCATAGTAACATCCAGTAACGCACCAAAATCTTTAAAGGGCGCCGAAGAATATCCCTGTAAAATGACCTGGAGGAACCAATACATGGACTCTGCACAAGGCTATTTAAGTTCCTCCGTAGCCCCTCAGTCGTAACGCTTGCTAGCCCACACCAAGTGGTCAAAACCTCCAGTAAAAACCTGGCACTAATTTAGCCCACCAGTGGGTAGAGATTTGGTTGGTTGATTCTCCGTTCGCCCTGAAGCTTTGCGATGGATGCAACTTTGGGTTAAAGTTGATCTGCGGCGAATCCGTCTATTGTTCTCCAAACGTTTTCTGAGAAGTTCTTTTCAGATATTTTATCCATTATTTGGTCGCTTCTTTTCAAATCCCATTCTACACCTGTTCAACAGTCGGCAAATCTTCTTCCAAAGATAGCGGGGTCGATTCGTCTACAGTACTGTATCCGAATCAGGTTCTTCCACCTCCCGTCTACACGAACCTTCCACAACTGGCCCACGCAGCTCAGCGCAAGTTTTCAATGTCTCACATTCCACCTGCGATGGATTCACTTCCGTCAAGTCCAAGCCGGATGGCAGTGTGTGAGGAAAAGCTATCAGATTCTCTCACTTCTGCCCACTTGGTCGAAACCTCACAGTCGAATATCGTCAGTGCTCGACAGTCTGCAATACACCAGTCGGTGAACGAACTGTCCAACGTTCGCTGTACTCCTCAACACTTGGTGAACATGTCGCCAGGGAACCCCTCGGCTCACAAACGTACGTCAGTCCTATCTGCATCTGGCACTGGGTCAAGACCCTGCTCGAATGGAATTGATCCATTTAGTGTTGAGTTGGACGAGCTCGATAGACTTGGGGGTACAGGTAGGTAGCACGTTTTTTGTCTTTAATTTCTTGGCGAATGAAAATCTGGCAACCAATGCTACTGTCTGAAAAGAAGGGGTGGAACTACCGTACCATAAACCGCCATAATTAGCTGGCTTCCCGATACTAGTAACCTAATCAGCAGAATCAACATTGTCGTCACTTCTTTTGTTGATTGGAACAAATGGTCAGTTGGATTGGGACGACACGTTCCCCTACGGCAGTGAAGTATCGGTGTTGAACACTGATGTCATGCTGTCGATGACGATGATGATGAGACGTTCCCCAGCCAGAGGTGTGTATTATGTTTTTAACAAAATACCAGGTTGAGGTTTTTCATTAGTAACACAAGGAGTACTGTTTTCATTTCTGTTGAACTTGACGTTAACGCTCCAGTTTGGTGTATTCGGATGGCATAAAGGATTAGCAGTTTAGCCGATCTGCTGGTAACCTTGTTTTACTGACCGTTAACCTAATTGGGGTTGAGCCTACATAGAGCCTACATAAATAGTGCAGCAATCTTCCTATGTCCATACGGATTTCGGTTCTTGGTTTTCTCTTGATTGTGCCGTGGTTATTGAGGCCTGAACACAGTTCAGCTCAGTGGAAGCAGATTTCTTATGTGACTTGGTTGATCGCTTGCTGTTTATTATTTTTAAATCGCATATAAATATTTATCTTCTATGTTTTCTTCCCACCCCCATCCTACATCTTCACGGTGACCCTTTTCAACTGTTTCGGTGCGCCTTCATACTCCTGCTGGTGCTGCTTTTGTATTACGTGCGCGTTCCTTCGTTCCTTTTCTCTCGCTTACGCCCTATTTTGATATATGGGTAACTTATGTTGGGGTCTCAAGATATAACCTCTGTTTCGAGGTCACAAAGTCTCTTCGGTTCGATGTTACAGGTCCTTCCAAACCCCTCCATGATCACCTTCTCAGGTCCAGGATCTTCCCCCAGGTGCCCCTCCAGTGGGTTCAGATCTTACTGTAATCTGACTCGATCACCTGGGTGCCCACGCCACTCACAGTTCAGTCGTCAGTCGTCAGAATTTTCCTCTACGGATTCCAGTTCTCAGGAGACACTGTCCAATATGCTTCTTCCGTTTGAATCACCCGGTACCTCTACCGTATCAAACGGTGCACACAGTTCTTATATAGCGAGTGAACAAGTCGAGACAGCTTCGATTGCCTCAATGTCCCTGACACCTAATTACCCGCAATCTTCGGGGCTTACTTCCACTAGGAAGAAGGTTTTATCTCCAAATTTCTCCACCATGCCGAAGGTCCATCCATCGATGATTTCTGGCTCTGTTTTGAAAGTGAAACGACGAACGGCAACTTCGTCGCTCCTNAGCTTCGATTGCCTCAATGTCCCTGACACCTAATTACCCGCAATCTTCGGGGCTTACTTCCACTAGGAAGAAGGTTTTATCTCCAAATTTCTCCACCATGCCGAAGGTCCATCCATCGATGATTTCTGGCTCTGTTTTGAAAGTGAAACGACGAACGGCAACTTCCGTCGCTCCTTTACCACCTACGCGACGTTCCAGCATCAATTTTAGTAGCGCCGCTTCCACCGCTAACAACCTGCCCTATGATTTTCACACTAGCAGTGTGAAGAGACCTGGCTTACCATCAGGTACAAGACTGTTTTCACTATTGCATAGTTGTCTTTGGAATCCACATTGTGGTTCTACACATTTTCTGCCTTCTCGCAAAGTTATTGGGCTGTCATCGTTCAAATTCACAGAAACTGTCTCACCACAGTACCGCATATCAAGTCACATTTTGGGAGGCCTTCACGTGATATAAATAACAGACGTTGGCGTGATGCTTTTTCTCGCAGTGCATAGCTGCCTTGCACTCCGCTACCATGGAACGGAGATTGACAGGCGTTCAATCTTTGCACCATCCATATCTGCCAACCAACTACCAACTGTCAACCACCTGTTTCTATGGTGACAATATTGTCGAATCAGATACTCGGGTGCAACAACACATTTAGCCGGATTTCTCGAAACAATGAGGGTACTCTGTTGTTTCTCCAACATATTCACCAGTTAGCTGGCACGAATTCGACGATTTGTGTGTTTTACAATTTTGCGTTGTACGGCGAGCCGATGTTTGTGCATAGATTTGGTGTCCTAGCTGTTCAGATTTCAGGTCAAGTTTGCCCCCAGGGGACCTAACGCAGTATCACTCAGCTTTTGAGCCTTCCTTCGGGTGGTATGAGAACTATGCACCGAAAGGGTGTTACAGCTGAACGGGTGTTTAATACTAATTTCTTTTTCATTACCTACTAATCAGTAATGTGGGATGCAAATGCGAAGTGATGTTCAGGGTTGAGCACACTTAATCGAAAGATTATGATAGTAGGACATTCGACAAGTTGGTGGATGTGGATCAAAAGCTATGGACTTTGGAAGCGGAGGATTCTGATAATTTTGCACAGCGTCATTATTTATCTCATTAATATTTTCTTACCACTTGTTCGTATGGCTACAGACTCAGTGCACACTGTTTGAACGGTGAAACCTTGAAAGTGTGAAACCTGACGGTTTGATTTTCCATGGAGTCCTTCCTTCTGCTTGATGTACTACTCAATCCGATGGGCATGTATGCGTACATGATCAACCACAGTCGGTTTTTGCGAGATGAATATCTTAAAAAAGTAAATCGTTCAGCTGTAGCACCCTTTCGGTGCCTAACCGCCATGCCACCTGAAGGAAACACCAGGGCTGGGATACTGCCGGGTTGCCCAAGCCTAGACAGGGGAAGTAGAGAGGTAGAGGTCAGATTCGAACCACAAAGCTTCGAATAAGTAAATTCGCGCTGTAATCACTGTGCCATCTCCAAAATGGTGCTGCTTCCAAGCGCTTGATGCCGATGTAGACCAGAAGGTGTAAGGTCGACGGGCGAATATTCATAAGCCTGTTGCCAACGCGACTATGAATATTAGTACCAGCTGGTTGTTTGTCGCTAAACTGCTAAAGGCACCTTTGAAGTACCTCATTCATTCACGCCGGCACATCATACTGGTGTTTAGTGGGAGGATTGTGCAATATCCTCGTATCATGTAATTATGAAACTTGTCGTTCGTTAGGTAACAGTGATTTTTATTCACATTGGTCACACAAGACCGATTACGTTAAAGTATGTGTCTGTATGCTTTGAAAATCCTTTTATTGTCAACTGAGCGGAGAAGATAAAGCCCCTCCTAAGTGGTTTGATTTCTTTCAAGCTTTGGAGACTCTTCACGCCTTTATAAACGGCCCTTCTCCAGTTTTCTGTGTTGACTGCCGGGTACTCTAATGTTCTAGACATTGCAAGTGAAGTCGGCCTTTTCTCCATACTTGCCACGGAATTGTTACCTTACTACACCCTAGAAGGTGTAACAGGCCGGTACGCCCAGGTTTCTCCATCAACGTGCTCGGGATAGTTTGTCCACATAAATTCTCTCAGGGGAACAAATGTCTCAATAACCGTCCCAGTTATTTTTTTAGGTTACTACTGTACGTTAGGTCCTTAAGTAGTTTACTGTCGAATGACAGAATTCTGCGACACATTTTGTCCCGCAGATAGCGGAATCGATGGTGTGCACTGATATAGAACAGTCGTCTCATAATTCTAGTTCAGAATGAAAAAAATACTGCTCGGTCCTTCGCAATTTGTCCAGTCTGGACATTGGACCCATACTGCTACATTACTTTAGCTAGAAGGCAAATAAACAACAATCTAGTTGGTTATACAGCCTTGGCGGTTGTGAAGCACCCTTTGCTAGGGTGCCGAGTGAATAGGGTTGGGACAAGCACACAGGCTTGTTTTGCTCTCTTATAGGTTCTTAACTGGGCGTAGGCAGGTGCGCATGGCTGAACCCGGAAGTGTTTGATGAGATTGCTTAGTCTGTTCGAGCAATCAAGCTCCCGTGGAATAGTCCGCAGTTCTTCCCTGGCATGAGATAAGGTCTACAATGAATTCCACGAAGCTCACAGAGGAATGTGAGTCTGTATATTGGTTCCTAGCTCTGATTTCAGAAGCCAGCATGAATGTAGATTTCAACTAATATTGTCGATTTAAGCAGTTAACCTGTTTGTTCGCTGGCGATTGTTACAGTTCACGGAGATTGAATTAGGTTGAACTAGCATCCGTTCCATGGTTCGCCTGCCATATCAAACTACGCTGATAGACCCCGCACACGATAACAATGTCATGAGGCTCGCGTAGAACCACATGTGCATCTTACTGAAGACCTTGTGTCCCCGAGGGAATAACACGGTAGGATAAACAGAAGTGGGTAGTTCTAAAGTCGTTGGCATGCACAACTGATGGCGCATTATCACCAAATGGGGACAGTTGAATGAATGGTTATGACCCACGGTGCACATAAAAGGTGGTCTGGTGGTCCACACCACCCCTAAGACGCAACCAAAGCTGCCACTTGGGGCTAGCTACTGCTAGACGTCGTTCGGTTTAGTGTTTACAATGATTATGGACAGTCATCTCTGATGCCGCTGTAGGCTTAACACTTCAGAATGTCCGAAGCGTTAGCATGGGTCATTTGCAGGTATGTATATGAAAAATGCAAAAATTCATATCACCTAATGGGGTTGGAAACAATGGAACACTGTGATACTGTGTGTGCGAAATAACTTTGAAATAGCAATGGCTACAAATGGACAACTGAATCATGATTCTATAGCCTTGAACGCCAGTATACTTATTGGGATAGTCATGAATAGGTTGGTGCCAAATAGCAGTATCTGAAAGGTTTGTGCTAATAACTGTCAAAGCCTTCTTTAAGACCATTCCGATACAACCAAGCTTGCACTGAATTTCTTCCAGAGCAGTGACTTCAGTTGACGCCAAGAGTACTGTAATAGCAAACAATGACGGACGGCATATGCAGGCCACTCGGGTGCCGTTTACTGATAAACTTTAGGGAAGGCTGAGAACAATACATGGAGAAGGTTTTGACAGCCCTGCTTTATTTTATCTGTCTGACCATCGCTAGATAATCAGTGAATAGGGCAGTCTATCAACCTACTATCAGGAACCTCGTCCAGAAGGATGGGCTGAATATCGAAGGGCAGTTACCATTCTGCAACACAGTTACTAATATCAGCTGATGAGAGGATGTTAGAGGCGACCACCATTTTTTGAACAGACGCAGACGCGATGGCTCAGCACTTTTCCGGGAAGGCGGCGATACTTAACTGGCCTGACGTGACCACTGCCGAAAACTCGGGACGAAGAAAGAATAATTTAAGAATGGATAGCTTTTCTCGTACACATCTCTTCAAGAAGAGCACTTGAACATAGTGTGCATAACTGCGGGATGTGAGCTGTTGCTCCCAGGGTGATCCATGGTCTTACTGCACGCAGATTACTCGAACGCTGTTAGCAACAAACCTGTGAAAAATGGGCCGACTTTCACTCGGCATGGGTATGCGGACGATATCTTTACCTCTAGCAAGTGCCGGAACATTGTTTCTGATTCCAACGTCTTTCTGACTGCAGCACTCTCTGTACCCACGTTCCCAACATAATCGATGGGTGAAACTGGCCACCAGAACCAACGTCAACCCTTCACGTGATTCAGAGTTGTTGCTACCACTACTATCGTTTGTTTTTGTAGAACATGGTTACAAACATACAAAATGAACTCAAGTGACAGATTTAGAAGGATGTACAGGAGAGACTATTCCGTTCGAAGGCCTGCCACCAACGGTTCTAGTCAGACAAGATGATTCCCGACCTATGTAAGAATGTCTGGTATGGAAACACGCGTGTAAAGACTAAATGTTCCTCAAGGCACGGTAAGCACAGTCAGAACTCGCACATCGGATAGAAGAAATCCGTCATAGTGGGTCAGGTGTGAAAGTCAATGGCAAGACTTGACACTCAATGCCATGTACCACACACAAAAGTGTAATTAAATAGAGGCCAAATTGGCGTGATCTTAGGAAGTTTCAGTCCAATAACGGCCCTGGCGGATTGAACAAAGCAGATTTCCCGATGTGAGAGGATCATCGGTTGGTGGACCGAAAATTCAACATCACAATCGGTTGCACAAAAGCCTTAGATGATGGCGAGGGAACAATCATTAGCATCATACTTCTGCTTCTCATTCCACACAGTCTTTCCACTTGGTGCTCGGGAAGAGCGATTAGGTCAAGCTTGTTGAAAGATGTCGACTTAGGTGCTCCTAACTCCTCGAAGACGCTCTCTATCACGACCCAAAAAGATCTCAGCGACTTAATGGAAATATTGTCATTATATGGGTGGGCGGATAGATGAATAGTGATCCTGATATCAATGCCCAATTTGGACGAATAAGTTCAGAAGAAGCACAATCGGACTTTGGATTTGGAGCAGATGCACAGCGTATCGATAATGGGAAGGGACTGCTCCAGGTGTGTACAGATCATCGACTGTTCCTGGTCAGTACGAACTTCCAACACAAAAGCTTACCTCGATTTGCCACCTACCACAAGACAGTCGTGAACTCAATTGGTTGGTAAATGTGGCTGTAAGTTACCGATAAAGAGCCTCAATTAAGGATTTTCGTTCCTCCTGGGTATGCAACTTGACTGCGGTCATGCCATTGTGCGGGTCCGGTTATCACTCCGCTTTCCTTCAGTATTACGCGTGCCAAAGGAGAGCAGCTTCGTTTATCAGAGCTAGAAAGCTACTGGAAACGCAGTCATGTAAATGATGAAGATCGCTTGGAGGTTTAATGGAGGCGATTTAGGAAGGTATGCTCTCAACTTTCAGAATTGTTCGTCTGACTGGACTGAATGAACACTGGATACCTTCGACATCAGCAGATCATAATGCTGCCAGAAATGCCATACCAGCAACTAGTGACTGATGGTGCACGCAGATTTCTCAGACACCGGATATTGGGAGCTTGAAGAATGACGGAGAATACCAGTGGATTTCGAAGGCCCAGGGTATCGAGAAGGCTTTCGCTGCAGGCAACAGCCGCGCCCTGTTTCAAATGATTTGATCAACCGGTCAAAATAAGGGCAGTGAAACAATATACGAGGAAGACGAAACGGCAATTCACTCCCTCAATCTCATTTTAGACAATTGGGCTAAGCGCTTCAAACAAGAGTTCAGCTGATCTGCTTCAAATTTCAAGCGTGACAAGTCACCTTGTACGGATGGCCTTCACCTCGCACTGTTCAAAGAAGTTGGATAAAAAGCCAATGAACATAATTACCAGCGAGTATAAAAAACCTCTGATATCCAGCAAAAGAGAATGTTTAGACTGTCGGGCACAATACCTCGAGCAACAACTGAGGAGACCACCTGCCACCTCCTATGTCGGCTGTTGGCCTTTAACAGAGATATGGACTGTGAATATGGAGCCCCCTTCACCCTCAGAAGTCTATATCGTTACTTAAGTATCACCTTCCTCCTAACCAGACGACCTTCCATTTGCTGTGTTCAAGAGCGGCGGTGACTCCCTCATCCAGTGTCTATCTAGCCTATTAGAACGCGAGTTTTCTGACCGGAAGGTCCGTGGTCCGAACCCGACCTCTGTTTCTTTCTATCTAGAAAAGCCAATGAACATAATTACCAGCGAGTATAAAAAACCTCTGATATCCAGCAAAAGAGAATGTTTAGACTGTCGGGCACAATACCTCGAGCAACAACTGAGGAGACCACCTGCCACCTCCTATGTCGGCTGTTGGCCTTTAACAGAGATATGGACTGTGAATATGGAGCCCCCTTCACCCTCAGAAGTCTATATCGTTACTTAAGTATCACCTTCCTCCTAACCAGACGACCTTCCATTTGCTGTGTTCAAGAGCGGCGGTGACTCCCTCATCCAGTGTCTATCTAGCCTATTAGAACGCGAGTTTTCTGACCGGAAGGTCCGTGGTCCGAACCCGACCTCTGTTTCTCGACTTCTATCTAGGCTTAGGCAGTCGGGCACCGAAAGGGTGCTGCACCTGAACAAGTGACCGGACTTGCTCCGGTGCCAGACTGGAACTCTCTGGTAAGTACGAGAAGGTCAACACTTGCAAGCGAACTGTCAGTATGGGATTCCAAGTAACACGGCACAATCCATGGTTTGTTTAAACCGGACGCTCTAGTCATCAGCTTCTGACGAATAGACCGTTGTCTGACCGATTGTTTGGTCAGGGCCACCAGATGATGATTCATCCAACTGTGCTTGACGCTTAAGCACACGAAAACTGGTTTTGATGCTGATAGTCGATCGACCAGGAAAATGTTGCTCCAACCTCACGAACAATGCGGTTTGCGTGTCACAAGACTGATGTAGGTTGTTAGCCAGGTAAAAGAGTGATTGTGTCTTTTGTTGGGACTAGCGGACACCGGAATTCTTCACTCGGCCAAGCTTATCCGCATTATGCTGGATGACGTGCGCGTGCCGGCTGTGTTGACTCGCGCCAATCGTATTCGGAAAAAGGCGGAAACAATCATCTCAGGCCAACACTTTTATGGACGTGAAGTGGACGGTGGGATACCAAACCGAATTCTGATTTGCAGCACCTGTCACTTTCATCACACGAGTCTCTCCTATATACTAGTTGAAGCTGGTGCGGAAGTACCAGGTGATTCGTGTTGTATTTTGTTGAATGTAACTACCACATTTTAACCACACCGGGTGGTTGACCCTGTCTAGATTTGTTAAACTCTTAGCTTACCCAGACTGACTCCCGGGCTACCCAGTTGGCACCACTCGGAGGTGGTTCAGCGCGCTTATTGAGGGGGCCTCACAATATCGCCGAAGTTTTCGGACAGGTTTACTGTTGCACAATTCACCAACAAGACGTAGAGATGTATTTTGTTGCTCAGACAGTGGAATATATTTTTGCGCCTGCATCTTATCTAACAGATTTCGAGTAATGGCCCATTGTTGCTTTTAATCTCCCTTTTTCTCAGCAAGTTTTGTACATTATTGGGGCTGATGTTGGATACTTATGTTTTAACGCTGCTGATTGTGCTCGTAGAGCAACACACTATGCGCATACTACACGTACAACAACACGTATCATAGCAATGCGGTAGTTTCTATGCTATACTGGTCTTACATCCGGTCACCCTTGTCGCTAGAGCGAGGGTTGGTAAGGTACACGTCAATTTCTTTTTCATGTTAATAGACTTTTTGGTGCCTCACACTTGCTCTCCCACATATCTGTAGTACTCGGAGTTACATTGGTCCCTTAAACTGTAAACCCAAGTTTATGTGTGTCCTTCTCTAACACCGGTTTTCGTGATTTTCGCAGCTGTGTCGGTGTACACGCTACCTGAAAACTCGCGAGCAATTGTTGATTGAGTTGCCTACACTGCAGATTCTGTACGCACGCTGCATATCATACGCACCTAATGTTGCCTACATTCCTCACCTTTGTAAACCACTTTGTCTTGTGTATCACGCAGTCACTTCCTATCCTTGTTTCAGGTTCGAGCTGTGCTTCCTCTCTGACCATGGCTAGTTCGACAACGAGTGAGTCGCAGCCGAGCGCTAACGGAAAGACAGCTGTTATGAACAGCAACAACAACAACGCCCCAAACAGTAACAGTCACGCGCCACGTCGACCCGGTTCTACGTACGATGCCCAATGGCCCGATCATTGTGCACTATCTCAGCACGAGGTTCGTAATGGAGTACGTCCCTCTCCTTTGCTTTCCTATTTTACTCCCTGCCACTATTCCGCCTTCGCTGGAAGTGGCCATTTTTAGACCGAGGGATGGGGACACCAGATATTGGTAACCAGGGGGTTGTTGTGAGGTCTCCAAGATAATATTACTTGTTTCGAGGGTTCTGCCTCCCGTTCGGCTCATTCCATCTGGAAAGTGACAGTTTTGTGTCGTTATATTATCAACGGCAGGTTGAGTCTTCTGAGCATATACATGTAAATTATTTGGTTTGCTGGCTTTTAGGTTCACTAACTGCCTTATCACCTGATCTAGCACATTGTGGCTTCATACGGCCAGCCAGTCCACACAGGTTGTGAGATCTTAGTTTTAGAACTTGATTCAGTCGCGTCTCTCAATATGTGGCTTGGTGTGACCGCCTTAGATACATTATGAAAGGTCATAGCTGGTTGGGGATGATCTCTCCTGCACCATTAAATCCCATTCCCTTACTTCTACCCCCAGTGTTACTTTCTGTTTCACATCGACTGCTTTTTGCACTCGGGTTTAACTGTTGTGATGCCCAACGCCAGATCCACTTTGTGTGTTCAATTTATTGATAAATTCCAAGGCACAGTTGAAGCAGGTGTTGCCTTGTGCTGCGTTTTTCGAGGCCTGCAATTTCAGGTGATTGCGAGACAAAAGGCATTGGTTCTGGATTTTGGTGCGACCAACAGAATCCCCTTGAGATGGGTAGCTGCTCGAGTAACTATTCTGAGGAGTACAATACACTCCTCTCCAACAGCTGGTTTCAGTCGTTCCTGTCAGGTTCCTGTTACCGAGAAATTTCCCACATTTCTAGACCCCTTTCACTGACTGCGTGTTCCTGATTTGAACTTAAAGATCCAACACAAATACTAAACCTGGAGCTGTTCCAACACTGCAGCATCCTCTGTCGGCGATCGTTTTCGACCGGTCTCGCCAGTGGTCATTTTAGGGTCTCTCTACTCAACTGTACTGTTGTTGTTTGAGATATGTCGTGACTACGAATGTTTTTGCTTAGAGTGAACGTACAGGATCCTCATCGAAACCGGTGATACTGGCAGATTGCTTGCTCATCATAATTCAAACTTTAGTGTACTCTTAGCTGAAAAACAATTTTGGTTCCGATTAATTACTTTCTTCGGGATTGCACACAATGAATTTACGTTCTCCACGCTATCTACGACAGCATCGACACCAGTATGTTGGTTCATCAAGTGGATGGTCGGGCACGCACCATATGGCTTGTGGTACTGTAGGTGCTGAAGCTGACAACCAGAGAGGACCTCCGGGACAAAGCAATTCTGATCGAGCTCGACTTGGTGGTAAGTATTTGTTTAATAAAGGAAATATGAGTGTTTCAGTAAAAGCGTCGTTGTCCTTGGTGATTTATTCACTGATCTGTCTGTCGGAAGACTTTCGGCTTCCTTTCTTCGTCTCTTGTTATGTTTTGGAATCGAATTTTTGTTTAGACAAAGCTTAGAGCTTTTGTCTGCCATTTGGTGGGGATAGGACTCCTATGGACATTTGCTTCACGGTTTGATGATGTTGGGTTTTTGTAGACCAGCATGACAGTGATCGTCATATAGTACCCCCACCGTCCTGGCAATGGTAGCGTTTTCTTTTGGATGACCCTTTTCGAAATATGCAATGGTTCATACTATGGTTTGTGGAGAACGACGAGCCGCTGTCCTTTTCAAGTATCCTTTTTGACCTACAATGGACACCTTTAAATTGTGTGCCTTTTTCCAAATACATAGTGCGAAGTAGAATAAACGCTCCAAGTGTTTAATATATTCGTTCAACGGCTGGCGGAACGCCCAGTCACTCAAAAGCCAACCCAGTCAGAAGACACCACCAACTGACCATGACAATGCTGCTTGACGTACCCGTGCCTACCCGGTCAGAACAAATATGTCATACACGACAATAATAGTTTTTGTTTGGTGTGCAGTCATTTGCATTTTCTGTTTTTTTTACTGTTTCCTCTATGTGATCGAGGACATTTCTTCCGGTTTTTTAGTTTTCCTCGTTTCAGATACCCATCCCATTTGAAAAACGTCTTTAGTAAAATATTCTACGTAGCTACTGGCGTCGCTGCATCGGAGCTATCGTCTTCAGTACTCTGCTGTCCGATCCCCTACTTTATCAGGCAACTGTAGGAACTGTCGTCCTCAACGCTTGAATCTACCCTCCCTCACTGAAAACTGACGTTACCTTGGCACATGGTTTATAGCTGATTAACCGAACTGAAGTCAGCGAACCAGTTGCTCTGGTTGGTGTGCACCACGTTTCTTATTGCACATTATTTTTGTACTCCCTTGAGTTTGATAGGTCAACTGGTTGGTTAGGTTATCAGGTCGTACTCCCTCTTTCCTTTACCTGTTTACTGCATGCGGTTTGCCTTCAAAATGCGCAAGCAGGTCTGGAAGTGCTCGTAATTCCACCATATATGCGGGTTATCAAGATAAATTTGCACTTGTGCCTTTTCCGGGTAAAGATTGTCTGCAATTCATGACTTCGAGAGCGCGTTTGATTCTATCGACTGTTCTTTTTCAATTCGCTCGCGCAACGTTATGCCCCAAGCCTTCCTGAATATCATCTTCTGATTGTGTTCACATACTTGTGAGGGCGGGATAGTGTGGTATGAGCTCCCAAAAAAACTTCCTACAAACAGCATTGTCCGGAAAGGATGTCCACCTTATCCATTTTTTTTAATGCGATAATAAGGCGAACGCTGGAAGGTCTCCAAAACCCTGGTGTTCGGAGTGAGAACCTTTCCAGACCTGAAGTATCCAGACATCACGGCTCTCATGTTTGGAAATAACCAGGAAGTGTAAGTATTATCTGAACAACTGACCAGGGTCATCCAGTCCTTCGGCGTGCGCTTTGCTTCCACTGAGTGCACTCATGCTGCCTCTTAGAACCCCAGGAGCGACACCGGAGGCTATGGAACACATATCTTGGAAGCTGTATTAGCTCTGGTGGTAGTGTGACAAACTTAGTGAACGCGCAAATTTCAAGGGCAAGAATTGATTTTGTCGATTCGTGCCACCTATGGCGTCAAGAAAGCATCTAATGTGTATTAGACTACAGTACGGACTGTATTGTTGTACGGCTTCGAGTTCTGACCACTTTGTGGGGAGTACCTGGAACATCTCCAGAAGTATAGCTGAAATCTGCTTGAACCGGCGAATTCGAAATGTGATCAGGAGACGGGTTTTTAGTGGAGTAGAGGGTACCTCCATCAAAGCCTGTATCCAGCACTGCAAGCTGTGGTGGCTGCACAGGCCGAGTTACTGTATGCTGAGACGAGCGTTGTTTTTCGTGTTCAATTCGGAGTGGCGGAAACTTAGAATTGGTGAGAAGTTGACATAACAAGGGAATTAAGCTAGGGCGCCGTTGGTGCTTTCCTCCTTCCAGGATGGGGTCCTATTGGCTCCCTGAGCTTGGCTGGAGATACTGAATGATATGGCTGCTAACCGATGTCAGTGGCGTTCATGCTGTCGGTTTCTGTCCAGATTGTTTTAAAGAGTGCTTGTGATTTAGACACCTTGGATGTTTGTGGTAGCCTAGTTCTACGTCCCCGCCTCCTATCTCTCTATTCTTTCAATTATAAGGCTGACATGGTTATACAGCAATGAACACCGGGTGCCCTCGACTGGTTCTACTGTATGGTGATGGTGATTTCCAGATCATGAACAGACCGAGTTTTTCTTTTTTAGACACTCCGCTTTCGAACGAAACGGCGAATCTCATGTCAGAACTTTCATCACAGCTCCAGCAGTTAGCCAATCGCACTGTCCAAGACCCCGTTATGAGCCCACCCCCGGAACAGCATTCGTCCAGGCGGACTGAGGATGGATTTGAGCTACCTCCACCACCTTCTCCTTCAATGTTTCAAACGAATCCCGTCGTGTTCGAGGCTTCGAGTGCAGCCACCACAGAGGCGCTTATGACGGCACTGAAACAAAGCGTTGGAGAACGCGCGGCTCGTATGGCCGCTTCGCATGAAACACCAGCACCCCCTAACTAGCAATGACTGTTGTACAGCGCTCCTGGTATCTTTGTTGCCCAACAGACCCTCTGCAGAGCACCGAGACTAATGTAAATATCTCTTTGTTATCGAGCGTGTGGAACCTTTGAGCCTTGCACACAGTATTGTGGCGACGGTATTTTAATGTAACTCGCACTTCTCACGCATACACTTTCAAAGTTACTCAACCGCTTCCGAAGTATCTAGCATGGTGTTCTCTTTTGACGCTTATTCGTTCTTTCCTCTATTGACCATCAGAAGTATTCCCACCTGATCCATTTATTTGACCAGCCATGCGTCCCACTATTGCTGTTTGTATATTGTATTTCTTACAACCCAACCTCGACCTGCTTGACTTGCCAATATATCTGTCATCCATAGTCGATAATAAATGAATTCTTCTGAATTATGACTTGACCTTAGCTTTCATTTAGAATGAGTTTCTCCCCTGTGAAACGCTCGCACCCATCAACCGCTTTTTTTTTGCACCGGAAGGAAGCAAACCCTCATTGAGCTGTTGTGTTTCTCGTTTCGTCCGTATAGAGGCTTCACATACTGTCAGATGACCTGTGTTTAGCCTGGAGTGCTGGCTTTGTGAAGTTACTGGACTATAACCCTGCTAGAAATCCTGCGTTGCTCACTGTGGACTTAGGCTTAAGTTGGCCCCCGGCGAACAAGCTTGAGTGTGCTCAGCATTCTACGTAACAAATCTTAATATAGGCGGCTGACTTTTTCGGATTTATTGCTGGGCAACGTTCCGCTTTTGACAGAGAAGCTTCGTCAGGCCGAGTAAATAAGCAGGTTGATTGGATTTTAAGTAGTCAGGGAAACCAATCCGTGAGATTTCTTATGCCTAGCCGACTTGATCAATGCTGGGTCACTCTGATTTTCCTGTTTGTTGACTAGTGGGGATGACTAGCATCTACGGTAGATTGTTTAGGGGGAGTTGTCTTCATGTTGAACCCGGATTTTTGCGGCCTTGATTTTTCTGTCTAGGACACCTTAATGGAATATTCCTCTTGGGGTCGTTCACAGATTTTGCGCGCCTGTATTCGTCGAGGGGTGCCGGAACAATTGGTTTGAGGGTGGGGGTGGTTAATTGGATCTCACTCTTCTTAGACCATTTTGCTGATAACTGCACACCACCTCATATCATATCGGTTGATCTAAAACCGTTCACACCCCTGCCAGTTCTACGCCCTGTATTCTATTCACGCTGGGATGCTTGGCGATTTCCACCGCCTCGGCCACCAGTCGCTGTGGTGTGAATCTTGACCATGGTCTCAGAATGTCCACGTTTTCCAAATCTATCGTGTGCCCACTGTCTAGTGCATGCCCTGCCATTGCCGAATCTTTGACTATCACCTGATATTCGTCTATCTTGCTGGGTGGTCCGTTAATGGATCGCTTATGCTCACCGATTCTGGTGTGCTATTCCCTGTCAGACCTATATAAATCTTCGTACAGTCGTTACATTTTATTTTGTATACACAGTTCGTAGTCCCATCAACCGGAAGGCGATCCTTCAATTGCACCAACACCGAGACAGCAATTCTGTCTCAGCGATGGAACGTTTGTTCATAAAAGTGTGAAAGTAGTCATTTTCTGTAGCTTGCGTCCATCCAATTTACGACTTACCCTATGAAGTAATCTATCACGCGGACTGACAGAACACTGAATTCGTTCTCACCAATGTCCCACCTAGTGATAGTCGCATTCGTCGTACATGGGATGTACGGTTGACACGTCTCGTCTATTTTCACTGATCTCTCCTCACCACCGCTATAGATGTACATTCAGGAAGAAGGACATAGCCCTAATAGCCCTCCTGACGCTTTCCGACTAGTTGGATAAAAAGGTCGCAACTAATACGAAAAGTTCAGTGGTTCACGTTTTTCGATGGCACTGACAAACTAGACTGCACTGTTCGTCGCTGTAAGCAACCATCTCATGGAATTCACTCGCCATGTTGGTTAGCTGACGCCGTGGGTCTGAGAGACGCCAAAAGATCCCGCGTGAGTTGTACTGGGCAGCCAACGGCCACTTGTTTATCCGTACATTGTCCTTGAACAGTCTAACGTACCTGATCCATAAAATCCGATTCTGTACATTCCCGATATCAGCTAACAGCTAACAGTGGTATGGCTTCTGTAGGAAACTTATTTTGGTGACCTGCTGATTAGACGAAATAAACTCCGAGGTAGCTTTTCCGTTGTACGTGCGGCTGAAGAACGTTGGAAAGGGGAATTGAATTTGAGGTTCGATGAATTAATACACTGGAGCCATAGCCGACTTGTACATTCAACCAACCGGGGCTAGAATAGCCGCCCCCTTACCCACGAACACGTTGTAAACTGAGTCAGAGTGACACGGTTGTGTTCAACTTGCATAAGCATACGATCAGAGGTCGAAATTCATGCCTACACGCACTGGGTAAGGGATGCATTTTGTGCCTACGGACGCATACGGCTCATCAACATGTGGTGCTGCTTAGCTGCACCCCCTTGAGTGTATACGTTAAGTTAAAAAAGCGATTAGATCAACCTATCCATAAGTCAATGTAAAACACACCAACCAACTGCAAGCCTTAAGAGCAAACTTAGCAGGCTTTTATCAGTTGGATCTATAACCGTTAGCAAAGCAGCTTTGTGGCCTCTCCTTATTGGTTCCGTCCTTCGGGTTAGTGGGCGCGGATCAGTTGACTATTCCCCTCATTAGTGGCACATTTATACTTTGCACCGCTTGTTCTTCGCAGCGTTTTCGAATAGTTTTTGGTGGGGCAAGGTTCATGCTTCAGGTAACGGAAACCAAAGAAAGTGGGTATTTAGGGAACATAATTTGTATTGAACAAAGGAATGGTACTTATTTTTTATAAGACGTTTGCTGGAGTTTAAGGGATTTTTAATTCCTAGGGTTATCTTGTTGCAAAACGCCTTATGTCAACTCTTCTAGAAGGGTCGTTATGTCAGCACGGTCGAGTGCTTTGATTCGGTCTTGGTTACGGATAACGATCAGGTAGAGCCCAGTAACCTCGGAGCCGATAGTCGAAAAAAATCTGTATGCTAGTGGTTTCCTCTTTTCTAAACGTTTTTATAATATTTTCTGGTTACAAAGGTCAGCGAATCTAGGGTTTCGATAGCAAATACATATGTAAGATATGTAGTAGGATTATGAGGACTCCGAAAGCCTCACAATTGGTTCAAATTAAGAACACTCTGATTAGTTTATACACCGGAGATTGTGATTGGTGGGTGAAGGCAAAGGGAGCGCCCCTCTGAGAGTGTTGGGTCTACCATAGCTAGCCATTACTCCATAGCAGATCAGCGTTGCTTTGTTTATCAACAGGTACAGAAAAATCGTTACTCAAGTAAACCGAATGCTCCATATAGTGTCCAATCTGCTCGACTTTATTCGCAGTTAAGTTACTGTGGATATCCACTTTGTGGTTTCACAATGTGAAAGGTTCGATTGAGTCAGCTGCACTAGCTGAATCACTCTCGTTTTCTTCCGGAAATCAAGGGAATGTAAATTTTTCCGAAAAATAATTGGGAAATGCGCTTGTTCTTGTCATACTGATAAACCGGTAACACTGAATGCCTGTTTTGAACGGGCAATGTGTCATTTACAACGGTTCACGGAGATAGTATCTGTCTTAATGCGGTTCAAATAACTCTACTTAAATATGGTTCAGATGGTTCAGTAGGCGGAACTTCTGAGAGCAGCTACTGCCATAGTTGGAAAGTGCTCAACAGATAAATACGCATTTGCGTGAATGGTTTGTTCTCAGAAATGACTAGGCATTTCAGACGCAAACCGGTTAGTGCACCTTCACCACATTGCTTGGTAGGACTTGCCTGGCAGAAATGAGTGTGACCATAACTCGGTCCGGTGATGTTGTACTTTATAAGAAAAAGTCCTTAAAATTGTCTCTGGATGTGCAATTTCAGTCGTGGGGTCCGTCACGAAAAGCAGTACGGCTCTACTGTACAAAATGTTTTGTAATTCCAAAGTGCATGGAATTCAAGCTGCCTGCATCCAATTTGTCCCGCAGCTGTAATGGATGAAACTGAGTGTCACATGATCCCCCATTATTCCCTGTCCAGTTTGGGGCTGGGGAAAGCAAGCACAAACCACCCACCATATGGATAGTCGTGTACTGCGTTATGAGTGACCTGATTAATTTAGACAGCAACGCTTTTCAACACAGTTGATTCAGTTTCATGGTTTCAATTACGTTCTCGGGTTTGGGACAGCATATCTAAATGGTGGGACTGAAATCTATCCGTTTCCATCTGTATTGAGTTTTCGTCTCCGCTTCCTTGGGATTCAACCCTTCCGGGCCGGACGGTATTCATCAGAAGATCAAGAGTCAAATTTGATCTTGATTTGCGCAATCGGAAATTTTATCACTGGCCTCACCGACCTCCCCGTTAACCAGTGGACACAAAAGTGTACTTTGCTTCCACATCTTTTTGGTGCTTTTAGATGGATTACGACCACTCAGTTATCACCAGTATCGCTGCTCCCCAGAACAACCAAAGAGCATAGACCAAGTCTTGCATATGAATGTGCTGAAGTGTCTTGTTTAAAAGTGTGCTGTGGAAAATCAATGCAGGAATCCTTTTGGTAGCAGTTAAACAGAAGCACGTTTGCCGCTGTCGGTATTGTGGTTACTAAGTACACACAAAGGGCCTCGATAATCATTCATCACCTATGCCACTGTGCTTAGCTGCGTGGAGGATGTGTGTGAGAATAGCAGCCGGGTCCATCTGTATTATATATGCTTACCAATAAAACCGTTTAGTGGGCCTCTTCGCATACCTTGCGATACAGAAGCGGTATGTTAATAGGATGACGATCGGTGGATCCCATCTTTTGTTTGTCGAGCAATGTTGGCGCCACAAATAATGCAACTGTGCCTGCAACAGTCGACTAACATCTGGGACAGAGGCGGCTCGTTTTTGAACACCCATTGCATATACATTGGGCGCTTGTTGATTCGCTGAAACACACATGGCAGTGTTAACATTCTTTTATCGACTGACTGTTGGTTGGTCTGCGCTTTGGACGTAACTACTCCCAGTCTCGCCAGTAGTAGAGCTCACGTTATCCATCGCCTCGCAGTGTCAGCGAATAATTTGCTGACAAGAATGGACGTAATTCTGATACCCGTAAGAGCAAGTTAGTTTACCTGTAGTTAAATGGAGCTCTCAGACAAATCCAAATATAGTTCCTTCATTCGATCTTACCGCGGATGAATTTGATCCGCGACAGTCCACCGCGGTGTACTTCGATATGCGCGTACCAGTGGGTAAATCATTGGTATGATTTATGTTGTACTTCCGTCGGTTACAGCTTGTCTTGATTTCTTGTTACTCACTATTCAAAGCGCTTTTCTATGGAGCAGAATTCGGTTTGGGCGGCTCCTCCGTGTACCCTATCGTAAATTGATAGTTGAAAGTTACTGCTGCCGCTCGTTTTCTTCGTTTGAAGATTTTAACAGTTATACAACAGACTGTGAATTGCTTCAAATAAATGGCACAGTCAATATATAAAGACAAAATTGCTATTCCGTACTCTTTCACGCATTTTCACAAAAGCTGCGGTGATAGAGCGGTGTTAGTATCAGTTTCAAGTGAGGCCATCTTGAGAGAAAACTCAACCACATTTGAATTTCCCAAAAGTAATTTATATTTTACCTTGTTATGTTGTCGTTTGCTACCTCGAATGCAACTCAGTCGGTGAATTGTGAGATGACACTATGATTATTCAAAAAAGTAAGCATACTTTTTTAGTGATATTCGTTTCATTTCCGTTCGACTGTATCGTGTATGGACGAAGTCCCCACATTCTTAATGTCCTAACATGCCCAACTACGGCCATCTGCTTCTAAGAACCAAAGTAAATGATTATGGTATATTTGACTAACAGAAAACGCCGGATCGCAACAGCGTTTACTCTCCTAAATCTATTCTTCTTTGAAGGCCCAGTCGTTGGTTTCAGCAGTGAAGTTTACGGTAGAACTCGACCCTTACTGTTGGAGCTTCGGTTTCATTCGCACTGATGGATATGCCTGAGCATGTTTTCTCAGGACCATTCGGGTCCGAGACGATGTGTCAGCCCAGTTACACATTGACATTGACGCGGTGCTTGGTCTTATACAAGATTGGCTACGAGCTTTCATTATTGCTTCCTCGACAAGAACACAGCCATCAAAATGTTTTTTTTCAGTGCATGTAGTGAAAGTCATCAGGACGTTTTACGGCTTGATAGTGTTGTACTCAATTTTTGGGATCCTAATGTGTAGTGTTCTAGTATCCTGGTTTGAAAGGGACCCCTACAAATCTAGTAGATGAATGGCACCGAATAACCGCCGTTTTGCGGCACTTTATTTGCCACATCGCGAGTGTTCTCATTATGCGAGATGCCACTAAATGAATTGATTTGTTTTTGGAACGATTAAAAGTTCGAAATTTTTAGCTACGAACTCAATTACTTGTTCTTCTAATAGAGGGTGGATTTCGAAACTGTGATCACAACCTGTTGGATGATATTTCTTCCATCTGAGTTGCCATGGGGGCTGCTATGGGTCACACACGTATGCCTGGACCTCACGATTCAACTTGGGAATATATAATATCAGATTGTTTATGAATACATCTTTGTCTACTGTACTCTGATGCGTCCTCAAGACAGCCTGAAAAATTGGCAATAATCGGCAAGATTGTATCACCCAGCTCATCGAGATAATCAGCAGCATTTGTTCACTTGTGCAATAAAAAAACTAGCTATTGCTAGCTTGGTGACGGGGCGACTATTTAGAGCGATTTTTCTGTGTTAATGGCCTCCTTGGCCCTGTCTTGGAAAACCTCCTGCTTGGATGCACATACATTGGTTTTGTCCAGTAACACAGTTAGAGCGTTAATTATCTTTTTTGCCTTCCCCATGGTCATTCCAGTGGGTGTCCATCAAACGGCTGAATAAAATCGTAGAGGCAATTAACGGAATGGCGATAATGAGTCGTTTTTGAAAATTTCTTCAGGTTAATAGCTTCGGTGAACTAAAATGTAATATGGCGATGGAAGAGAACGGGACAGAGAACGTAGCGAACAAAGCCTTCTTTCTCGGATAGACATGAGGCCAAGTAGACGCAAGACCCAGCAGTGGACCGGCATTTTCTCCATCAACTAGAACCTAGTGGTCTCAGTGGAAGTGAACCACAATAGCAGTATCAATATTCTTAGATTAACTTGGATCATTAAGGGCATACGAAAAACGGAATTGTTTTTCAGTTAACAACATTGAAATGTTTCTCTAAAATTCCTCTTCTTAGGCCACAGAACGCGAAACGGGGAAACATATTATAGTGAGTATATCTTTTATTAAATTACGTGATTGTTGTCTTAATGACTCCTGTCTAAATGGTTCAGTTTTCGGGTTGTTGAAAAAATATCACGCCCTATGTGTTCAAGTCGAACATACGGTTGACGGGAACTCGGAGACTTCGCCTGCTTGATGGGCCCCAGGAAGAGTGAAACCGATCGTGGGCTGTCGAAGAGTTTTCAGCGATCTTGTGAATAGTTTCCTTTGTGATGATAGTAAGCCTGTTTTTCAACTGAATTTCTTTAAGAACCCTATGTTTTCGGAGATACGGCATGGAACACGTATGTTACAATGCGTATACTTGAAAGTACGTGTTTTTAAGTTGACTGAATTTAGATTAACGTTGGAAACTGTGAAACTTTACACGAATGCCAATATTTAGGTCAATTTGCTGTTCAGTATGCGACACACGGAGCCATAAGTGTTCAGCTAGGCTATCCATTCGCTGTCGACGAATATCATGTTTCGTTTTCACGCACACAGAGCAGAAATAGAAGCGAAAGACTTCGACCATAGCGTTAAGGATGATGAACAACCTAGGTTCTGACGCTACCGTGGAGGAATTTTCTTGGAGAATGTTTGCCGCAAATACAGGCTGTTGAGCTTATTTTTGAGTATGAATACATATTGCTCTAGAGGCCTTCTACTTCTCTCTCACGGCAGACAGCTTGCACTTTTAAATTACGAACCGTAAAGCACACCAAGGTGTGTTCATTTTTCTTTCAATAGTCCCGACCGAGATTTTTGTGAGCTTCCCGCCCGTGCGACCTACTGGACCTTTCCATTTGAGGTCATATCATATCAAGGCACCCAACGGATACCGTATAAAATAAAATTTATTCATATGCGTCACAAGCAATGAAAACGAAATTCTCTGATCATCTGGTTAGTGACTTGAGTTGGGTTTAGGTAACTAGATGACCTGCTTTTTCTCCGCTACCGAGATGAGACGACGGAGCTCATGTGCACTACTGAAAGTTCCATCACTTTAGACGTCGTCTTTGCAGGGCCTTTTGTTTCCACTGTTCTTCGTGAATATGCATTCACTAAAACCTCTCTACCGCCTTGCCATTTTTGGCTTACAATGTCAGTGGTCTGACATTTTTGGTCTGCATTTTGAACACTTTAACGAGCGATAGGTTAACTCTACATGCACGTTCCCTGTGGAAGTCCGTCTATATCATATCGACTTGGTATTTAACCGTAGTAGAGTGCAGTTAAGGTGTACACGACAACACGCAAAGTAACCAGGGTTGGATCGATCAACTGATTCGATAGACGCATTATCGTATGCTTCAGTTCTTGCAGTTTAAAAGTACAAGGTGCCTAAAATGAAGGAGTAGCACGGATCCTCGATAAGGTATTGAAATTAAGTATGCGATCCGGAACATATTCTAATTTCTGATTCACTTTTAGGTGCATACAAACGCTGAAAAAGCTGTGTCCACTTTTGGCGAATCCCATGGGCGATTCCCAACCTAGTCTAACGAAACTTTTGAGGTCAACCAGGAATTGTGAGGCTTTTCAGGATACATCACCACTTATCGGCAACAAACACAGTATTTAAGAATGAGTGACCAAGCTTAGGCAGAGGAAATCTAGAGGTCAGGGTTGAGACGTATACCATACACCTACCTTTTGAAGCTTCATATTCATCCCGCGTTATTCTGGGTTTTCTAGATGTTGTGTGGCTCCTAGATGCAGAGAAGATATCGCGGCCGAAAGACAAATTTCTCAGCGACCATTTATCTCCAATATAGACGTATATTTCTCAGAAGCAGGAAGTAAAATCAATGCTATGTTGGAAGACCTTGGCAACTACAACTTTTTGTTATTGAGACGTTCTTCATGCCGGAAGTGGAATGTTATTCCTTTGCACACAAACACCGACTCTCCCTACCAACGCACTGATAATGAAACTTCGACTGGTGATGAAAGGTTTGAAATCGAATTGCCCAGCTCAGTGAATAAACCACCAACCACCACTATCAACTTGCCTGTCTATGTTCTCAGGTTACACACGATTTTCGTGCAATTAACCGTCACGCGTGCCAAATTTGCAAAATAGCTTCGGTGCTGCGTCGACGAATGGTTGCTATCACCCAAATGGTTGTGAAATTGATCCCCGCAGTAGTAAAAAACTCGTGCGTGTGGATTTTTCGGAGCTTTATGGAAAACATCGTCTTTGGGAGAAGAACTGTGCTAAATGGACGGGCAAATCAAGGGTCATGCTCATGTCTTCTCATCTCACAAAATTGATTCAAATGATGTGTTGCGCTGTAGACCTCTGACAATCGCTTAGCTGTAAAAACTCCCAACGCTGGGAGATGCCGCGTTTGTAAAATTTACAGGCGAGCCTTAGTATCCAGAGGACCTATCGAACCATTCAGTGATGATGCATTCCAGAACGCGGAAATATTGGTCGTTATGAATTTGCGGGATTGGTCTTCTAATAAATTTTCGAACTTCGACGTAGAGTTTGATGATGAGCGGATCGGTTGCCATAATCGTTCAGCTGTAGCACCTTTTCGGTGCTTAACTGCCATGCCACCAGAAGGAAGCACGAGGGCTGAGATACTGCCAGATTGCC